ACGCCTTAAATATGTAATCACTAACACCAATGATCTTTTTAGCTATGTGTATGGGTGACATTCCTTCCTCTGACTACCAAAAATATAATATAGACCACAAATATATTTACTGACTACTATAATAATGTATCATTAGTTGTTGGTATATGGTGGATTGGATGCAGTTTCCTACCTGAAAGGGAAAGGCTGTTCTACATTGTCTTACTGAGTGAACACCAATATTAGAAGCTTTTGTTTTTTGGACTTTGTACATGTGGCTTCTAAACTTGATTTATAGGGGCAATCTGTTTGTATTTAAGGGCAGCCTCACTGTAGCCGTTAAGCCCCACTAGAATTTGTCTGGTCTTCTTCTCCAGTCATGATCCATTGATAAGTTGAATTGCACACCATAGTTACACATATTCCAGTAAAATGTGCATTAATGCTCCTTAAAATAATTGGCAATAGGTTGTCTCTGCCTGAAACAGTACTAGAAATTAAAGTAAAGCTATAAATAATTTATAGTTTAACTGAAAATACCATTGTCTTGCCACTAGTAAAACTTCAGTTTATCCTATGTTCTTTCAGTTTTTCTAAAGTCTCTTTTTGGATGTTTTCCAGTCTCAGCTGAGTTTCCCAGAAGACAGCTAAGGGTAGAGAACTTCAGGAAGCTGAATGTTAAGAGTAGACAAAAGGTTATCTCACAAGCTATGGCATGCTCTCAGTGTTCCCATCTCACTATGTGGCTTTCCCTTTGTGCCTTCATTTCTGTTACTAATTCTATCTTCAGCTCTTTCTTTGCTCTGTCAAAAAGGTCCACCTTGTTGTTGGCTTGATTTGATTGACACAAGGAAATGTATGGCTATAAGGACTCCAGTCCTATCACCAATTTAGCATTTCACACATGGGACATGTGGCGCACCAAGTTAAAAGGGCGTTACTACAGATTTTAGCTGGTTATAAACATGAGATGACAGTCACTTCATACCACCTTTTGAGTAACAATTTTCTGTTTGGGTTCAGAAAAACACATCACCGCAAATCATTTTTCAGAAGTTCGTAGAGCAAAGGCTGCCAGGCATTCATTCATGAATTGTTTATGCAGCCAAATGGAGATTTAAATGCAACAAGCATTTGGTTTGTGGTTGCAGCACTGCTCTATTTACTTAAATGGACTGCATTTGGCAACAGGGTCTACTAACAGAGCCACTAGCCAACTTGCAGTTGGGCAGTCAAGAGGAAGCAAAACTGCAGCTCAATTACCTACTTTTGTTCCTCCTCCTGCCTGCCTGTGCAACAGTAGCCAATTACACTCTGGGCAATCATACACTGGATAGAATCCCTAAAAAGAATCTAAACCTGGCAGCATTAGGGTTGAAAGTTTAAATCCCAACCACGACACCACCTGCCTGGAGTTGGTATGTTCTCCCTGTGGCTGTGGGGGTTTCCTCCTAGTACTCCTGTTGCCTCCCACACTCCAAAGACATGCTGGTAGGTTAGTTGGCTCTTATCTAAAACTTGGCCCTTGTATGTGTATGTATGAATGTGAGTTAGGGACCTTAGATTGTACGTTCCTTGAAGGTTAGGGACTGATGCGAATGTACAATATATACGTTTAAAGCACTGCATAAATTGATGGCGCTATATAAGTACCACTAATAAATAAACCCAAAAAACTTAAAATGTTAAATATTACAGCTTACCAGTTCTTAGATTCAGTGGCCTCATTTTTTCTTCCTGCGAAAAACATTTCCTGTCCTAGGGTGCCTCCATTGTACCTATGGAGGAAATCATGGTTCTCACACAGGCTGGACTACTAACATTTCTGCCTTTGTTCATCTCCATTACCTAGTGGCTTATGGGCTAGGTAGTTTACATAGAAAATATAATATGCTCATCTTCATAGCAGCTCACAAGAATTGACAAGGATACATCTTTGGCAAGATCAACGAGTATTTTCCATATTTGTGAAAATGTTCTTAAACTGAAAAGTAAAAATGAATCTAGCCACCTCATCTAATGACTGGTAAGCTGCAATATATTACATTCATGTTCTTTGGTTTAGTTCTGTCCATGTGTTTGGATCTTAACAGAAAGGGTTTGGGGAGGCTGAATAGTAGGCTGATCTGCCCAAGCTCTAATCTCTGATGCCCATTTGATCAGATAATGGGCTGCTACAGATGATTTAGAGACAGAATTGTTTTGTTTCTACCATGCTGTACCTATAGCAGGGCTCTACTTCTCAGCAGAAGCTCCTGTGAGCAAAAAGAATCTGCTAAAACGTAACAGGCAACAAGAAATGTTTTTGCTGAGCACAAACTTTCCTTTGATCACCATATTAATATAATTATGGTGATCACATGATCTGTCATGTGGTTACAGATCAATCAAGCAGAGTATCAAGCTGGATTATGCAATATCCTGCAGGAGATCATATCCTGCTGCAGCTAAAAATTACAGGACTTTTAGTAATTCTCTCCTGGAACAGGGAATATTTTGAGAGGATGTTAAAGCGGCCATAATGCTTAGTTTTTGGGGGTTTTTTTTTGTAATAACATGTAATACTTACCTGTTCTGTGCAAAGGTACACTGGCAGGGGACCCCAGAAGAGGAGGTTCAGAAGCGCTCTGTGAAATGGTATAGACCAGCAATGGGCAAACTACGGCCCGCGGGCCGTATACGGCCCGGCGGACCTTTTAATCCGGCCCGCGGAGCTGTCAGGATGTGTGTAGGCGGGGCAGCGTGACGAACGTGAGGGGAGCTAGGCTCCTCTCACAGTCCGCCCTGAAGACCGGAACGGCGCGGGAACACGACGAGAGGAACGCGCGGAGCAAAGGTAAGTGAATTGACACAGGGGGGACTTGGCTTACTACTTGGGGGGGAATAGTACTATGGGGGATGAATTAATATGGGGAATGAATTACTATGGGGGGGGTGAATTACTATAGGGGGGATGAATTACTATAGGGGGGATGAATTACTATGGGGGATGAATTACTATATGGGGGATGAATTACTATGGGGGATAAATTACTATGGGGGATGAATTACTATGGGGGATGAATTACTATATGGGGGATGAATTTACTATGGGGGATGAATTACTATGGGGGATGAATTACTATATGGGTGATGAATTACTATGGTGATGAATTACTATATGGGGGATGAATTACTATATGGGGGATGAATTACTATGGGGGATGAATTACTATGGGGGATGAATTACTATATGGGGGATGAATTACTATGGGGGATGAATTACTATATGGGGGATGAATTACTATGGGGGATGAATTACTATATGGGGGATGAATTACTATGGGGGATGAATTACTATATGGGGGATGAATTACTATGGGGGATGAATTACTATATGGGGGATTAATTACTATGCTTACTATGGGGGAATATTACTATACTTACTATGGATGACACATACACATCATTCATCTACTCTTGGTCCGGCCCCCGGGTCCAATATATAAACCCATTGCGGCCCTCAAGTCAAAAAGTTTGCCCACCCCTGGTATAGACACACACAGTGTGGCTCGGCCCTGCCCCCGCTCTTGGCTCACAGGATTTAATTGACATCAGCCAATGGCTCCTGTTGCTGTCTCTGAGCCTATGACAGGGGACAGAGGAAACCAGCGCTGCTGCAAAAGAGCACAGTGCTGGATCGATACAGGACTCAGGTAAGTTTTTAGAGAGGGGGTGGGGGAAACAACTAGTGGAACATTTTTTTTAGCTTAATAAAATGTAGTGCATTAGGGTAAACTGCCTTATGGCTTTAGAACCACTTTAACTTACAGTAGCAGGGTCATGAAGGGGTTTAAGATATTATACTTTACTTTTTATGATTCTCTATTATACAGTATATGTATATATATATATATATATATATATATATATATATAGTGTGACAGTGCTGTGCCCTGCCCCATGGTCGAAAGAGGAGTAAATGCCACACAGGGTTCTTGCTGATGCAGGTTGAGAAAGGCTATTGAGTGGGGATTTGTGGTTTTGCAGATTTCTGTAGGATTGGTAATTCCTGGATGGGTTCTGGAGTCTGGAGGCTTTGAAAAGTCTAGGAAGGGATGAAGCCTCTAAACCTGTGTTCATATGTTATTGGAGACCAGCAGCCTGACCACCTTCATAATCAAGGGGCTAACTGTGATTCAGGGCTTCTTTCCTTGGGAGGCAAGTTGCTGTATGAACAACAAATGGGTGTGTGAGCAGACACTGGCAAAGTGCCTGTGCTAGCCTCAAAGAGAGGCCATCTTACCAGACTATCGCCTGAGGTGTATTGAGAGCCGATGTGTTATTAGGCAGGAGCTATGCAACCCAGGTGGGCATTTTGTTTGCCAAAAAGCTAACTGAGACATCATGGTGAGTCTGTGCGGAGACAGGCTCAGTTACTACAAAGTCTAAATATCCAGGAGGCTGGACAATTTATGTTCTAACTCCCGCAAGGGTATCCTTGTGAGTGTTTTTTTTTTTAACCTTTCTTTTTAAATAAAAGTGGGTCAAAAGCCCTGAAAACATACATCCCTGGCTGGTCTTGATTTAATGAAAGGCACTACATCTCAGAGAAACCCCCCACAATATCATTATATGTGATAGGTTTTCTAATTACTCCAGTAAGTATAAGTAAACATAACTATGACCTTAGATTCCAGTGCAGCACAGTGGCTAATTGGTTAGCACTTCCGCCTGGCAGTACTAGAGTCGTTGGTTTAAATCCCAGCCACGGCACCTCCTGCCTGGAGTTTGCATGTTCTCCCTGTGCCTGTGTGGGTTTCCTCCGGTTTCCTCCCACACTCCAAAGACATGCTGGTAGGTTAATTGGATCCTGTCTAAATTGTCCCTAGTATATGTATGTATGAATGTGAGTTTGGGACCTTAGATTGTACACCCCTTGAGGGTTAGGGACTGATGTGAATGTACAATATATATGTGTAAAGCGCTGCGTAAATTGACGGCGCTATACAAGTACCTGAAATAAATAAATAATAACTTACCATTTGCACCTTCATTCCAGACATTCCACAGCTGAGCAATAAAGAATGGAGCCCAACATATCACATAAATCAGTACAATGGCCAGAGTCATTCGCACAGTCTTGGACATGGCCTTTGTCACTCCAGAGTCTGAAATTGGCGGCATGCCATTCGTCCCATTAACCAGTTTTCCTTTCCGCCTTGACCCTGGTGACCTTTCTGTCCCCAGGTGCAGACTGTGGTGTATCTCTCTAAAAATCAGGACTTGACATGTGGTGATAAACAAAGCTGGCAGGATGAGGACAGCCAAAGTTATCCACGTCACATAAGCTTTAAGACCCCATGGCTGCACAAAATTTGCCCAGCAGTCATAGACTCCCGGGTGGACCTCTGTTCTTGAGAAAATAAAAATCTGTGGAAGGCTGAGAACTGCAGATGCCCCCCATGCCAAGCAGACAGGGATATTCCACCTAGCTGAACCCTTTTTAAATGTCATCATAGGCCGACAAATAGCTTGATGCCTATCAAAGGTCATGGCCACAATCATGTAAGAAGATACGAACATCCCAACGACCTGAAGATATCTTACTGAGCGGCACAGGAAATCTGGACCTGGAAATCGGTCAACGATGTCCCAGATAAGTTGTGGTAAAACCTGGAAGAAAGCCACCACCAAGTCTGCCAGGCAGAGATGGATCATGAATGTGTGCATGAGGGCATTGTGCTTCCTCCGCCTAAGGAGGGTGAAAAGAACCAGTAGGTTTCCAAAGGTGGCCAAAGCCAGGATGATGGTTAGGAGAGCAATGCTCCATTGTGTGATGTAAGGATTTAGCTCGTTCGCGTCTTCACCAGTGATGTTGGTACTGATACTGGCAAGGGGGCTCTCAGTCTCAGACATCTGTAAAATACAAAATATGAAGAGAAATTATTAAGAGTAAGAAAATATCTACAACTCAGTTGAACTGCAACTGTGTAATCAGATATCCAGAAACCTTTTATTACATTAGGGGGCCTAGGCCAATGATTTGATTAGAACCCCAGCCAAGTCTCTTAGAAAGGAGCAATGATTAAGCAATCAGTTTAAATATACATACATAAACCATTATATCTGCCAAAGAATGATTAATTCTATTCAGGTGATCGTGTGATCCACATACCCCTAGCTAGACAGGTGGCAACTTTATTTCCTGCAGTATAATCCAATCTATGCAACCCTTTTCACAAATCAACTAAAAATGTGGAAATATAGTAATAGGAAATAATGCACACTCACGAAAAGTTGCAGAGGGAAGGCCCTACATAGAAGAACCTTAATACAGACTCTGAGACCTCTCACATGTTAAACTCTAAAGCTGCTGTGTAAGAACATTTCTGGATCTTCCTATCAGTATCACTACAGACAAAGAAAAGGAAAGATCACCAACAATGGAGTGACAAGTTCAACTCAAGTCAAAACCTTTATTTTGGATACAATAGAAAACTTAGTTGTTATTTCCATCTATCACAGGTAAGTTACTCTCACTTCCTAATAGCAACCACAAGTACATGAAAGGAGGAACTGAGTGGAGTGGGGGGGGCTGTCACAGGACAGGGGGTATAGACAATAATGAAGAAAATCTCTGTTTATCATCAAATGCACTTTTATTGAACAAGACAATTTTTTTTTTACAGTGTTGCAATAATAAAGCCCCTGTAAAACTGTCCCTTTCCACCCTCCAAACTTTCCCAAATAGAAACTAGTTTTTAAGTGGCTCCAAGTAAACTTGTACTTGCTAATATATAGAGGCACTCTTGTGAGGGCCACTTGTAGGTTTGCTCAGGTTTCCTCTTGCTTCGCCCCGCAGCTAAGCACAAATTACTTTCCACAGCCAGGTAAACACACTCTTTTGCTTGTTGTCATCAATGACCAGTCTGTTCACACTGAGGATGTCTAGCTGATCTCTTAGTTGAGCACTATTGAAGTTTTGGCTGAAGAAGATAACAAACTTCTTTTTAATTTGCAGCAGTAAGTAATTTAGGAGTGAGCAAAGTCCCTTTTTGCAGTAGTAGTAGTAACAGGGCTGAGCTCCTCAGGTACAAGCAAGTTACGACATACTGTAGCAGTCCAAAGGTAACGTAGCTCAGAAAATTCCTTTGCAGTATCAACAATTGGACAAGCAATGTTCTTCTACGCCACCTTTGATAATAATGAACTAATAACTTCAGATTTGTTTTAAAACAAAGCATGGGTTTTCTTCTCCAGACGTTACTCAAGCTTCCTTAAACTCCCAAATACTGTTTCTCTGAGTAATAGTCAACTGCTCCCCTGGAAGGCAACCCACAGATACATCTTCTCCTGAGAATAGCCTGTTCTTTGCAACCAGTGTTTACCTGGTCTTCATCCTCTGCTACAGCCTTAATGATGAGGCCTATCTGTCCATAGAAAGTTGGTACCTCTTCCTGCCTCTATATACTTTCTACGTAGGGTGCCTTATGTGATGCAGGCTGTGCTATTTATTCATATTTGTGTCCAAAAATGGTTATCAAAGTCTCACAAGAAGCCCATGTGTCAATATCATAGGCTTCCCCAAGACGGTGCCTAGAACCCATGACAGGGACACACAAGTCTAATGGACTTCCCCCTGTGTTTATAATTAGTGGTCATAGGACCATTTATTTAGAGATCACCGGATTGCTGCCTTATTCTACTGGATCACCAACCCAATGGATCAGGAAGTGCTCCATAAACACAGTGGAAAAGCTCTCAGCTCCTCTTGAGTACTATTTTTGACACCCCCACCACACATTGACTCTGTCATGCAAACAGCATGAGGACTACTGTTTCTGACCTCTCCTTTAAAAATTTACGCTCCCTGCCTGTCATGTGATGCATTGGCTTCAATACTTTTGAGTCCCTTACCTGGAATAGTTATACAGTAGCTAGACTCAAACTTATTGAAGCCAGAAAAAGCCTGGAAACTAGAATTTTAAAATGAAGGCCAGCAATGGTGGCCATTATACTTTTCCCATAACAGAGACACTTTAAGCTGCTTATTGTGCTCTATAGCCCAACACTCCAGTCCACTACATACAAATGAGGCAATGGAACTGAATGTCTGGGCAAGAACTTGCTCGCTCTGCTGTAGTTCTTGTAGTTGTCATAGCCTTTAGAGAAGTAGTTGTTACACTAGTGCCAAAAAAAAAAAAAAAAAAGACTTTTGTTATGTTGGCTTCCCAACCCCTAGAGGCAAGCAGACGTTTTATATTTTTTTAATGTCTTTGCCTTTGGGAACAAACTTGCTTCGAATGTTTTTATTTTATGCAAGCTGTGGAACATTGGCACTCAGAAAGAAAACATTCTAACTGAATATATTGGAGACTATCACTTTGGTAGTATTTCTCAGCACTCAAGGTATGGGACATGTTGACATAAAGTAGTGATTATTGTATGCTTATTCTATGTTGGATGATGTAGTCCAGTCCAATATTTTGTATGGACAGATATTCTCAAATGTTTGTTTATTTTAAAAGTACACATACCGTACAATTCAATCTTTAAGTCAATGTTTACAAAACGTTTTTTTTTTTTTACTACATTAGTTTCTGTATGTTAAATGTTGAGTAGGATTAGGTGGGGATCTGTGAACTGAGCAGCCCATTGCCACAGCTACACTGGGGACTGTACAGTATAGTGAATTTTTACATATTATATTTTATCATGTTGAAGACTAAAAAAGTATATTGTATGTATTGCCAGTTCATAAAAAAAAAATCAGATTCATCAGCTTGTTATAACTAGAAAGGCATGCTAAAGTGGCCTGTCGAGCAATATTATCACAAGTGATAGTATTATTTGAAAGTCGATTTTAGAACACCTTAAATGCTAGTTACCTTTGTGTAACAGATTGTTGGAATTTTGTTAGGTCTCACTAGATAAGTTTGTCTGAATGTCCAATTATTGAAGAACAAGGCATTTATTTTAGGATCCTCCCTAGAATTGTATAGATTATTATTAACTATACTAATTTATATGGAGAACATCCAAACTTGCATATCAGAAACAGGTGTAGTTCATCTGATTGCATAAGTAGTACAGAATAATTCATGTTCCCGGAATTCATTTCTATATTTGGTTATGATAATTACTACCTGTCGTCAGTATTTAACTGCAATTTCCAGGAACACTTTGCAGTCAGGCAGCTGGATTTGAAATTTAAACAGTAGTACACAGGGGTGAGATTTTACATTTTGTGAGAACGCGGCAGAATTGTTGGAGGAAAAGGATGTATAAATTATAATTTGGACATACTCAATGTTACAGCCTGTACTGCTGGGTGCAACTCAGTTTAAAGAGAATATCAAATAAATTTGTAAATTTTACATTAGGTTTAAGCCAAAAACTATATTTTGAAATCTCTTTTATTGGGTAAATATTTAATATTGCATAGAAACATTTAATGTTTATCATATCCAGCCAGTAGATAGCAAGATGTATGCAGGAGAACCAGCTTTCTGAAGTCTATGCACAGCCGTTGAGCTAAAACAAAACTGAGCAGGCTTGAGTGGAGCGACTAAAAAGATTTCACCAAAAAATTGACAGATTTTGCCAATGAAATGAAGTGTAAACGCTTAGCTCACTAAGCTGCTTAGGTAAAATTTACTTGGAAAAAAAAAAGGTTGGTTTTTTTTTTTTTTTTTTTTAGAGGGCTTTTTTTTTGGCAGGTTGTAATTAATGTAGTTTAGCTTATTTAATTTGGTGATTTGTATTTGGGGTCATTGTATGCAGCAGCGAATGTGATATTCCCCAACATTCTCTGCAGGTGAATAACTAATTTAAAACACATGCATCAAAACATAAATCTTTGGTAAATGTCACATTCGCTGCTTTATGAACCCAAGTTTGTGTTGTTGATCATTAAATGTTCATTTTCATTAATTTTATATAGATTTTTTTATTACTATTTTATTTATGCAAAAAAAAAAAAATGATAATGAGACTAAAGGGTTCAATTTTTCTGAGCAAGAACAGGTTCAGAATAGTTAAAAATGATTCCCATAATTCTGGGACGTCAATAAAATCCAATTAAAAACCACAAATTTTGGCTGCAAATAATTTTGTTGAAATAACAGAAAAGATCAGACTACACATACTGTTGAAAGATGTAGGGGAGACACATTACCCCCAGCCAGGGGCGGACTGACCATTTGGAAACTCGGGCACTGCCCGAGGGCCCGTGGTCAGTAGGGGGCCCCATGAGATGCCCCTGGTACCTTTTTCATAGGCTTTTTTGAGTTTGGGCAAGGACACAGGGGCCCCATGATCCCCTATTGCCCGGGGGCCCCATGAGTTGTCAGCTCTCCCAGCAGAGATAGGAACACCTGGCTTAGTCACTTATACACAGGCTGTCAAAAGCCTGCAGGCAGCGCTGGGATTTCCTATTTGTAACACCACAGTGCAGTGCTGTTAGCCCTGTATATAGCTCTACAGAACAGACAGTGCAAAGTCCACATGTTTATATGATGCTTCTCTGCAAACAGGAAAAAGGAACTTAATTATAAAAAAAAAAGACATACCATAGATGTAGCTACAAACGTATAAACGTATAAACACTGCCATCTACTAGTAGAAGAATATATTTCTACTGAATACCGATGTAGTCGTACAAAAATACATGAACATTGTATTCCAACAAGTGCAAAATCTTCAGGGTGCTTATGACGTTCTTGGCACACCTACTTTCCAGCTTACTATTTGCCGACCTGAGATTCCCAACTATGCTCATCAAAGTCTCTCTGCAGTCCAATTAAGCAGTACCTTGTTATTCAAAAATATGCCATTGTTCTGCTTCACCTTAGTCTACAATGATCCATACATGAAGACCAAATAGGTTTTAAGGATGGCTGAGATGTAAAAGATGG